TAGCAGAATGTCAGACGCCTTAACCACTTGGTCACCGCGGCCCCTGTAATGTTTGTCATACACATGAAAATGACAGTTATTAACCCAATGTCCTTTTGATGTTGACAATATCATTTTTTCTTTTTATTGCGATAATAGAAACATTTTGGATGATAAACACAATTCTATTGAAAATTCCATGTTTTGTGAAATTTTCATTCCCTCAAGGTATAGAAATGATGATTAAATTATCTTTTCATGACAACATTAGTAATTTTCAGAGTCAAAATGTAACAGTGTTCTTGTACTTTAAAAATAAAATCTAGAAACTTCGGAAATTTGCTTTTTGACCCGTTCCAATTACCGTAATTAAAGTTACTTTTCAATTGCCTGGTTACTGCCTTTTGGCTTTCGAGTACATCAAACGAGTCACATATTTCTATAAATGTGTTTCTCATTTCCTTACCATTACTAAACTTTTATTTTAAGTTCTTTCTCAGGGCCAATACACCTGGGTAATATGCATCTGACCCTCCTGATCCTTTATAATGATGATGTTTTATTATGTACAACAGATCTGGGACCTAGCCAGTGGGACCCTGAAGTTATCCCTGACCGGCCACATCAGTTCTGTGAGGGGCCTGTGTGTCAGCCCCAGACAGCCATACCTTTTCTCCTGCTCCGAGGACAAACAGGTCCGCTGCTGGGACCTGGAATACAATAAGGTACAAAGAAAAAAATCTGCTTTGGTCACAGTCATCATACTAAGAAGTGGCTATTACTTGTAAAATTTCCTGATACAAATTTTGATATTTGATGAATGTCCTCCTGCATGAAACTGTGAAAATCCAGCTTAATGTTTGATTTTGTTTTTCAGTAATGTCAATTTTTCTAGAGGAAAAAGTGTAAGCACAATGTAAAATAGAACCATTTTTACATCAATTAAGTGATTTCAATATTGACTTATAGCTTAATTCTTTCTCTGCGATATTAAATACAATACACTCTATTTAAACCGTTCTGATTCCCAGACGACGCGGCACTACCACGGTCACCTGAGTGCAGTATATGCACTGGACCTCCACCCAACCATTGATGTATTGGTAACATGTGGGCGCGACGGTACTGCCCGTGTGTGGGACGTCCGGAGTAAGGCGTGTGTACACACCCTCACCGGTCACAACAACACAGTGGCCAGTGTCAAGTGTCAGGCCTCAGAACCTCAGGTAAAACCACGTACAAGTTTATACAACAACAGGAAACACACTTACATTATGTAATCTTGAGTGTTAAAACCTTTTTGACGTTATTCAGCTACATTCAGGAAAGCATAGTCACAGTTGCTATGATCTGAACTTTCCCTGTACTGTAATGTTGTTCTGTCTCTTTTTGACGGTATATTTAAAATGAAACAAGAAATTTGTTTAGGTAATTTATATCTTTAAATAAAGAAAAAAGGTCTGAAAAGTGTGCTGCAATATATGTAAAGTAAATCATGTAATATGATAATTTAAACTATATTTGGGCAAAGAACGGGAATATGACTCCTGTATGAACCTTGAGGCAATGATTTTATTATTTTCAAGGCTGGCTTATTTTTTGTCCCCCACCAATTCCCGAACTATAGGTTTGCAATCTATCTGTCCGTCCTTCCTTCCAAGAGTTTGTCCGGGGCATATCTTCTGTCCTTTTTCATCTGGAGTAACCAGCTTTGATATACAAGGACATCTTTGGATGGCAGAGTGTAACAATAAGGTCACTTTGACCTGTGACTTGACCTTTGAACTTTACTTTTGAAAACGTTTGTCCGGGGCACATCTTCTATACTATTTCACATGGAGTAACCAGATTTGGTGTAAAAGGACATCTTGGGATGGCAGAGTGCAAGAAGTAGGTCACTATGACCTCACT